CTTCAAGAATCAACAATTAAAAAGAAGCGAATTATTTGCAAATTCCTCTAGTTGTCTCTTAAAAGATACAAAAAAGTGTTTTAAAAAAAACAGAAAGAGAACACAAACTAACAAAAATAAGCCAAGGAGAAGAACACATAATTTTGACTGTCATTATCATAAGGAACATAGCAAACACAAGACTTCTCTTTATTTTTGGCTATATATACATATTTTCACACACACAAACATACAATATGTTTCAGGCTTTGTATTGCTGCTTGGGAACAATTATTCTCCCTAAACTTTTTTTTACTTTGACCAACTTATATTAACTTTAATTCACTTACTACCATAGTTGAAATTTTTCATTTTACAAAGTTGAGAATAATACATAACATATTTGCATTAACATAATAATATATTGTATTTTAGCTGACAATATGTTTCTCTTTTGCTTATAGCATCAACCCTAAGGTCGATACTATGGTTCAAGGTCTAATATTAGGGTATGGTCCATCTACACTTATTATTTACTGTCATAAAATTGACGTCTTAACAGATGTCAAATATTATAGAATATGATATATTGTATTGAGTGGTCTTGATACAAGAACATAAGATAGATATATATAGTGATTAACTTAACATATAGCTAACACCATATAATGTAAACTTTCCTAATACATAATAGAAATATTTTGTACAAGAAGTAATGTAGAGATCTAGAATATGCTTCTTCTGGGCTTCACGAGCTTCATTTCATTAGACAGGCTTTGATGCCATAAAACACTTGGTCCGAAGCTACACGGCTTGCTCCCCAACCTATCTCCAATACTCCCCCGCACGACAAACGTGGTACGCGAAATCATCAAGCGAAACATGTATGTCGTGGACAACTTGTCGAGGACGGACAAAACAAGTCAACAGACTCATCCGAATGTAAATTTCAATCTTCAAAATAGGGATCAAACTTCAGCTCGTCTTTGGTCTTAATAAAAAAGGGAAAAACATCCCATGGGTACAACTTGCAACTCCACAAATAATTATCCTTTATTCGGCAGTCCACAAATTGGACTTAAGAAAAAATATTGACTTAAAGAACATGAGCGTTCTAACTAGAACTCCCTAAAACCACAACCAAACTCCCCGTAATAGGAGAACCATAACAAAAGGAATTAGAAAATTCCAATAAAAAATCCCAACTTTTGAG